GAGCAATGGGGCCAGGTGTGTCTGAAATGATGAGGTCAGCTCAAAATAGGGCAAAGTTCAGGGCCATTGTTCATAGGGTCATTCTGAGTTGTAGTTGACTCAATGGCACAAAACAACAGTAATAGTGAATATGCCATGGATTATCAAAAGAACAAGCAATCTATCTTGAAGGAGTGCAATCAGATAAGGATGGTGCAACTTCATCTCATATAGTTTGAGAATGTTGTCAGGACTGACAAGTTATTGGAAAAAGACATGAGAAATGTAAAGGATCCAAGAAAGCGAGACAGATACTCAAAAGAATGGATTTGCATAGTTTTATAACAATTGAGCATATCAAAGAGTAAGAAAATTAGAGACCATGGGGATGGCATAGGACAGGACAATGTTCAGATCTGTTGGTCTTAGGGTCCCTATTAGTTGTAATGGACTTGATAGCACATAACAACAACAGCTTTGATGTTTATGTGAGATTCAAAGGATCATTGCTTGAGTCTTGTGCACCTTAGTCATCAAAATGATATCTATGTATCTTTTGCAATTGTTGTTGCTATTTTTAGGTGTCATCAATTCAAGTATGAGTCATAATGACCCTATGAACACCCGATCTGAACCTGGTCCTTTCCAATGCCACCCTCATTATATCGGACGTGCTTGAGCCCATTGCTGCAGCCATTGTGTCAATTCGTTTCATTGAGGGTCCTCCTCTCTTGTGTTGACCCTCCACCTTTCCAAGCATGATGCCCTTCTTCAAGGAATAACCTCTTTTAGCACCACACCCAAAGGGTGTCAGATGAAGCTTTGTAATCCTTGTCTCCAAGGAGCATCCTGGTTGTACTTTTTCTAAGACATATTTGTTCTTTTGGCAGTCCACACAATATTTAGTACGCTTCTCCAACACAACAGCTAAAAAGGATCAATTCTTCTTCTGTTGTCATTAGTCATTGTCCAGCTCTCAGACACATAACATAGAGAGTGATTGAAAAGAATAAGGCTCCATGGTTTATGTATTTAGTCTACTTGGATTGTTTGTTCAGCAGGCAGATAAAATAATGTGAAATGGTACAACTCCTCCATAGACCTCTGTTAATTTCAACCAAATTGTATTGCTTTGTTATATTTGAATGATGGTCTTTTGTTCCATTTTCTGACTCCACATGAGTAAAATTAAGAATTCTACTATTTTATTCTTTAAAATT